TGGTGCCATCATGACAATTGCAGTGCTTAGCAAGGCTGCTGGCCCTGGCTGATGGCTGAGAGTGACCCTTGTGTGAGAGGAGGTGGGGGAACAGGAAAGCTAAGAGGGAGATAGACAGGGCCTGCAACACGCTGATGACCCCACAGGGCTGGGGGTGGGTCAGGGGTGTGATAGGCGTCTCTTGATAGACTGGGTCCACACTGTGTCAGGAAGTCTGGGTCCGACTGAGGTGGGTGTCATCCTGTCCTTGGGAAGAAGCGGACCTGGACGGCACCAGATGCTCCTTTTGGAAGGGCTGTTGGAGAGCAGCTCCCTGACACATCCACACAGCACTGCCAGAGGAGGGCGGACACCCACATCCAGTTCCTGGCGAAACTCAGGCTGGAGATCCAGGGTCACCTTCCTGGGAGGGACCACAGAGCAGCTTGCAGGGGAGGGGGAGGGGCAGCGATGCCCACAGAACACAGGGATCCTGTGGTCTCTGCCAGTCCTGGTGACAGGGGGCATTGAAGATGAACTCTACAGCTCAAGCTGGTTCATTTTATGCCAGCTTGCCTGGGCCACACGGTGCCCAGATCCCAGGGTAAATGAGGCTTCTAGCATGTCTGTGACAGTGTTTAGTTGTGATTAGCATTGAGCTGGTGGGCTGAGTGGAGCAGAGGGTCCTTTCCAGTGTGGGTGGACGTGACCCCAGATTGAAAGCAGAACAGGAGCAAATTCTCTGAGTGTCCTCAAGCTGCGACACTGGTCCTCACCTGCCTTCAGAGTTGGACTCAGAGTGGAGCTTACACTACGGCTCTGCTGGGCCTCCAGTCTGCTGGCTGTGAGTCTTGGGTTCTCCAGTTCCACAGTCACAGGAGCCCGGTGCTTACTGTAATGTCTCCCTCAGTTTCTCTGGAGAGCCCAGACCGACACCGGGCTCTGCTCCTCTTCTGTGGATTTTGTTAAGTCATTGAAATTCCACAAAATTCCGTTTTCCATTCCCATGAGTTTGAGTATTTCAGGTAGAAGAGAGCCATGATAGACTCATCCGTCTATAACCCTCTCCTGTCACCGCCAGGATGTTCTGCGGTTACTCATGTCAGGGTCAGGAAGTTTAGGGCCATTTGTTTGTGCAGTTGGGATCCAACTGCAGGATCATAGCTGGCGTCTGTGGCTATCGCTTCCATGTTCCATGTGGTTACATGGATCAGAATCTCCCTGTTTAGAAAGGCTGCCCATTGGACATTCCACAGCCCCATGCCACGTTTTCTCTGTCCACTTGTCCAGGTGCTGTGGTTAGAACAGCAGTGCAGTGGGTGGGGGGTCAGGTGGTCCTTCCACACCCCGGCTCCGCTCTCCTTCCTGCTTCTGGGTAGAGCTGTTGGTCTCACGGCAATCCCATGATCTGGTCTCTGGAAGAACTGCCACACTGGTGCCCCACTTTACACCCCCACCAGCAGCCTACAGGGGTTTCCAACTCCCCTGTACCCCCGGCAGCAGCATCATCTGTGTAACAAAGACACTAGCACTGCGGCTTTATATTAATCCTAAATGAATAATGAATCTCCAGAAATACAGGAGAACACTTTAAATACCAGAAGAAAGAGGAGTGCACAAGTCTTGAGTGTGTCGTTGGGTGAGTCCCCACACATGCATGTGTCAGGCGGCTCTGCGCTCATCCGAAATTTCCTCCTTCTTCTCCAGGTCGTCCACCCCTCCCTTTCTTTGATTTTTTTTTTACTATTATTTTGCCTGTTCTAGAACAAACAGAAAAGTACAATATTTGCTTTGGTGTAGCCTTTCTTTTAGCACGCCCTTTTATTGATTTATTCTTGTTTTTTAGTTCATCCGGGTTACGGCACACAGCTGCACGCTCTCGTGTCTTTGAACATGCTGGCATCTGGGAACGGAGCGGGGAGCCCTCTGAGTTTCGGTTGTAAGAATGAGGAGCTGTGCACAGTGACACAGTCCTCCTGTGGACCTGCGCTCGTGAGGAAGCTCAGGAGCGCTTCCCTTTCATGAGGAGCTGGTTTTAATTAGACCTATTATCCACTTGAAATTAAATGCTGCCTAAGGTGTGTGATGTAGGATCATGACCCATGTGATAGAATGAACACCTGGTTGTTCCAGAACCACTTGTCACAAAGGCTATTGTGTCCCCCCTTAAATTTCCATGACGCCTGGAAATACTGCCAGTGACCTCACCTGTGTGCTCTGCTCACGTGCCAGTAGAGGCTGAGTGTCCCCTCTCTGAAATACTTCAGACAGGACATGTTTCAGATTATTTTGCTTTTCCACATTTTGGATTATTTGCATATATAGAGTCCACCAAAAATGTATATGTCAGGGAAAGAAACACTTGCATAAAGATTTCGATACTAAATTTATTGAGACATCATGAGACTGATACCAGTTATTCTTGGCCCCACAATTGCACAAGGTGCCCGAAGTGGTGGCCACGAGCTCCAGGAATCCATCAGCATGGCGAACTGCTGGGGTGTGTGTACATTTTCTGACGGACACTGTGTGTTTATTTTGCGGAGAGGACTCACGTCCGGGCAGGATTCATTTGTGTCATCCATGTACACATGGGCTGCAGGTTCACTGGGCAAAATTTTCACCATTTTGTGCACAAAGTAACATTTCCTTCTGTTACACAATGTAGACACTCAAAAAATCTCAGATTTCGGACTATTTCAGATTCCTGATTTTTGAAACAGGGATGTTTAACCCGTGTCACACTCGCCTGGAGTCGAGCATGCTAAGTCTTCTAATTTTATGTTCTGTTTTCGGTATTATTTTGACTATTCTGGGTCCTGTTTTGACTACCCTGGGTCCTAAAATCACAGATTTCACATTCAGTCAGTCAAAACTTACACAACGCAATGCAGACTGTGGTTTAGCTGAATCTATACATCAATTTTGAGAGAATCTATATGTTAATAATATCAAGACTTCTATCTCATGGACATCTCCTATTTGACATTCTTTCTTGTACATCTTTGTTAAATTTGTTCTCAGCTGCTTTATAATTTCCAAAGAGGTTTTAAATAGAACTGACTTTTAGAATTGAAGTTACAGCTCTCGCTGTCGGCTGTGTGGCTCCAAATCTCCGTGTGCTGAGTGTGTCCGTGTGAGGGGGCTCAGCTCTCTTCCCGCAGAATCTATTTCTAGCAGCCATGCCCCTGTGTCACGGTGAGGTTCTTTTTCTTCCTGGTTTTTGTGCTTCTGTTTTTCTTGCCTCATCACCCTGGCTGGGGACACTGCTGACCTGGGACACGGTGGGGACAGACTCTGCCTCATTCTCACGTAGGAGCCAGCAGCCCTGGTGGTCACATTTAGCGTGGATGCTTTTTCCCACAGTGAAAAATCATCCCATCCTGCCTCGATGAGATTTAGCATTAATTGCTGCTCAGTGCCACCAGGGATTTATTTTTGTAAATTTATTTAAGAAATCATTTGATTTTACCCCAAATTGTACTAACAAGATAAATTTCATTGATCGATTCTCTAATTCTAAGTCAACCTTGGATTCCTACTGTAGTCCAGGGTAACACATTACCTTATTACAAATGGTTGATTTCGGTTTGCAGCTATATTAAAAATAAGAATCTCTTTCTCTTTTCTCTTTCCTGCTGCCTTCCTTTTGAAATGCACTTGCAAATTTTGATATCTAGGTGACACTGACCTCAGAAAACACGCTGGGAGTGAGTCCCTCCTTCACCATTCTGTGGACAGGTTTGCGGAGGGCTGGTGTTATCACCGCCTCGGACACATGGTGGAATTTATCGGTAAAATCAGCGGGACCTGAAGTTTTATCTGTCAGAAGCTGATTGACAACCAAGTCAGTTTCCTTAATAGATACTGGGTAACTGGATTTTCTGTTTCATTTGTACCAGTCATGACCAATTGTGGTTTTTAAGAAATTTGGTCATTTCATTTAATTTATCAGTGAAAGTTTGTCCTTGATATCTTTTTGCTAGTCTTGTAATGTCTGTAGGTTCTGCTTTAAACACACCCTTTTATAATACTGCTAATTTGTGTTACCTTCTTCTACTCATTGGCAAACTCTGGTTTATCATTAATGGTCTTCAAAAACCAAATGCTGATTTTCACTTGCTTTCTCATTTTTATGGATTTTGATTTCATATTTATTCTATTGTTTTTTAAAGCATTTTTTGTTTGAGTCTTAGATCACTGATTTTAGACCTCGTTTTGTTACTATAAACACCTAAAGCTTCACTATCATCCTACAGACTTACACACGGTACATTTCCACCGCCCCTCAACATCTTTCCCCCTGGTGGGCAGCAGGTTAACTCTCTGTCCAGCCCCTTAGAGTTGGCTGGCCACGTGGGCGTTGCCCGACACACACAGAGCGCTGGGCTCTCCGGCAATTCGGGCCTCACCTGAATCTTTGTGAATTTCTTCTTTCTAGAGTCCCTAACCCCTATCTTTCCATCCAACGAGTTTCTCAACCATTCTCTGGTCTTTTGAGCCTGTCACATGTTGGTTCCCTTCTGTGTCTCATCTCTCTGTTCCTTTATGAGTGCTGATCTCAGGCAAAAGGAAACCCACTCCGTACCTTCTCCCATTGCAAGTCCTGTCCCTCCCGGGTTCTGCCCGGGCAGCCAGGGTCCTGCACCATCGGAAGCCCAGAGTTGTTACCTGTGGCAGCTCTGTCTGGTAGGAGGTGCTCTGCCAACACATGGCGGGTTCACCCTCAATGATTCTGAAAAGTGAAAGACTAATAAAACAGGGAGGTGTGTGTGTGGAAAGTTAGAGTAAATGCTTAATAAGACGTGTAGAGAAGAAGTGTGGAATATGTCTTAAAGAAAGCAGAGAGGACCCTGTAGTTGACACAGGCCAGCTGTCTCACCTAGAATTTAAATTTGGCTTAATCAGGACACGAGATAAAAGTGACTTAAACACCTGCAAGTTTACTTTTCTCTGGGCTCCTCGTGTTTCCATCGATGTGACAAGTATGTGCAATAATCCACTTACAAGAAAGCAAGCTTTATTTTGGCTGGTGGTTTCAGTTTGTGGTCACTCGGCCCCACTGTTTTGGGCTTGTGGTGGCAACGTGCACCATGGCAGGATGCATGGCAGAGGGGTCTGCTCAGTTCGTGGCAGGCAGGAAGTAAAGACAGGAAGGGAGGCCGGGAGGGGCCGAGAGCCCCGCGTTCCCTTCAAACGTGCCCCCCAGGGCCTCACTTCCTCCCACCAAGCTCTGCCTCCCTAAGGTACCGCCTCCTTCTGGTGGCCCCAGGGCCGGGGACCAAGCCACCAGCACACGGGCCCTGCAGGGCTCATTTAGGTTCCAGGCCATGCCATTCCTCACGCCAATTTCCAGCTGGGAATAAAGGGTTTCTTCCGCAGAGCCACGCCGTGGCTGGCGTCCCCTGTATCACGCCTTCCCTGCCTCGTCCCACTTTCAAGGGCTGAACACACACCTGGTGCACACTTGTCCCTGCTGACGTCCGGCACTGTCAGGACAGGAGGTAAGCGGTCCTGCGGGGCTGCCAGGGAGGTCGGGGGCTGCATGGCTCCTTCTGCACAGCTCCTTCCAGTGGCGAAACCTACCAGGGGAGAAGTGGGGAGCGGATACCGGGGCACAAGTTCCATGTTAAAAAAATCAGTGCAACAAGTTCAGTAGGGCTTCTGTGTTCTGCTTCTTTATTTCTTTTAGAGTTTTAGAAGTTGCTCTGGTTTGCGGTGTAGACCCTTTATTTACACTGTCTGTTAGGTATCAGGTCACTTCATTTTTCATGAGTGTAAGAATTTTACAAAAATGTAACGTTTGCTGCTCCAGACTTCACGCCATTGTTGCGAGAGTTCTCAACTTGTACGTATGGTAAAGCTTTGCTTCTTGGTGATAACGGGGTCCCTGTAAGCAATCACACTTTTAATACCATTAGTGGAAGGAATGAACCCTGTTGTAAAGAACTGTTGCGTCGTGTCTTTACCATTTTCTGGGTTCTGTGTTTCCGGCTGTGGTAATGTCACCTGCTACCATCCCCTGCAGTGTGGGCCTCACGGTGTCAGAGGACATCTCCTCCCAGCCTCCGTCCCACTCTCCTGACCGAGACACATTTGCACAGGCACAGGCCCCTGCCCTGACGGTGTCTTTAGTGCCGTAGCCTTGTAATTCCTGTTTTGTGGCCTTCGTTCTCCGAAGAGAAGCCGACCGTAGCTTGTCTTCCTATCTTTTGTATCTAACTTGCTTTTAAAATTCATTTGCTCAAACTTTTTTTCCTTTGGTTGGGTTTTCAGCAGTCTGATCATGACAGCCCTGGGCGTGCTTGGCTCTGTGTTAATATTATTTGGGACTTCTGGCGATTCTTGGATCTGTCAAGTACGACTCATGAAATTTGTGGGGGGAAAATCCTGATGGCTCTCTCTTCTGCTATTTGCTCTCTCCTCCCCCTCAGCCCCCTCTCCTCCTCCTCTTTTTCTTCCCCACCTCCTTGTCTGGCTTTTTCTTTCTCTCTGTCCACCCCCCTGGAATTCAGATGACTTCAGCGGATCCCACAGGTCGCTGAGGTCTGATCATATCTTTAAAATTCATTTTTCTGTTCTGTACAGTAGATAAATTATGCTTCTTTTAAAGTTCCCTGAGCCTTTTTCTTCCTTTCATGTTCAATCTCCTGTGAAGCTCAACCAGTAATTTTTTTGTAATAATCAGACATCGCGATTTTCAGCTCCAGAATTTTCATTTTTTAAAACAATTATTTTTACTTCTTAGATGAAATTCCAAATCCATTCACGGTGCTCTAATAGGCCTTCAGCACGTTTATCACGGCTGTGTCTCCTGACCTGGTCACCCACGTAGCTGCAGGTACTTCCGTGGCGTGTGTGCTTCCGTGATCCGTAGATAAATGGTGGCCTGGTTTCTGAGGAATTTTGTCAGTGCTCTGCGTGGGGAGGACACAGAATCTGCAGAGTTGGGCTGCTTTGCCTCCGTCTGCAGGGCGCTGAGCTGGCTCTGTGCTGGGGACTCTGCGGGTTTTTCTCCTTAACCCCCGGCCCTCGGGGCCTGGCTTCCGGGATGCATTTGACGCTGGGTCACGGCTGTTCCCCCACAAGTGCTCCTCTCCTGGAGTCATTGCTGGAGACCTAGGGGCTTGGTGAGGCCTCTCCCAAGTGCGGGAGCCTGCTCCAGCTTGGTTCTCTGCACCTTATATAAGCCACTCTGCTTAGATCTCAGAGCAGGGTCTCCTCAGAGCAGGGTCTCTTCAGAAAAGCCTTCTCAGAAGCAAAGAGCACAGCCACTACCCACTCTGGCTCCTGTCTTCCTTCCCCATCTGCATCATCCTCTTTGAGGGGCAGATACCAAACTCCTTGACTCCCTGACCCTGCCTCACATCTTCAGTTGTAATTGTGGGATGCTGATGTCTTCCTTGATTACCCTGGACTGAAGCAATCAGTCTCCACCCTGACCTCTTGTCATGACTGTCCGAATAATTCGCTTGGCAATTAATCATATCTCCCTTTGGGTTATCGCTTCTCTCATTGCCTACACATGGCATTTCAATCTCTTATCATACAATTTTCCCACAAACTCATCTTGCTTTTCATCTGCACTCTAAGCTTCTTGATGGCAGGGTTCATGCCTGCCCTGACACCAAATGTCACATCACAGGAACATGTGCTTTGGGGTCGTGGTCGTGCGTGTGCTGACGAGGGTGTTAGCCGGCTCTGACACGTGTGCAGTTGTGTTCTCAGAAGACTCAAGTCCGATGCCAGTGCATGTGTTTCTTCAGGCCTGTCCAGGTTTTGTCTCAAATTACTCGTCTCTGTGGACTGAGGAAGAAGGTTCCTCTCGAGCCCTGTGGTCAGACCAAGGAATGAGTTTAACTCTGTGGCTCTGGAGAGAAGCACTCGCTTTCTGCTCTGGGCCCGGCCCTTCCTGTCCTCTCTCCTTTGAGTCGCTGGGGGTGTGACTCACACCTGGGTTCTCTGCCTCTTCCGGGTGCCCCCGAAAGAGGCACCTTTGGCACTGGGCTCTAGAGGTCTTGCTGGCCCGGACGAAGTGGGGAGAAGTAGGGAGTCAGCGTTCAAACGGCCCGGGCTGAGCTAGAGGCTTCCTGGGGGAAAAAGGCGAGGGAACCATGAGCTGAAAGTGTCAGCAGCTTGTGGGAAAAGCCTCCTCAAATCCCGAGTCTTTGCTTTTAGGCAGTGGCTCCAGAGTGGCTGTCTTAGTGGTTGGTGCAGCTGGGTGCAGGTCTTCAATTGTGCCCCGCACTCAGGGTCTGCTCAGCTGCTCCAGAAACATATTTTTTGGAAATTCAAAGCAGGCATTCAAAGTAGAGGACGTTACTACTGTGTCAGAGGCGGCCCTGGGCCACCCCTCCAGTCCCCAGCCGCACTCGGAGCTGCAGGTGCTCAGTACATGTGGGGGAGACGAGGAGCCCCTCCTAGCAGTGTCTTCCCGGCTCCGTCTCTCCCCAGGTCTCTGGCTCCTCCTCTGATGCCGTCAGCCACGTGCAGCCGCAGGGACTTTACCCTCACTGAGTCTGGAAGAAGTCAGACCTGGCAGGGGTCAGTGCTTGGTGAGGCCGGGGCTCCTGCTCAGGGCCGATGTCCTTTGCTAAAACTGAACTTTCCTGTGTGGTTCAAGGATGGCTCTGTGACCTCATGCAATCGTCATGAACAAGAGGCCAGGGTGGATGCTGCATGGGGACATTCCTGATATCATAGGACACAGTGGATGGAGAGGCCGTGGCTGGTGTGGGGCAGCCATGATGTGGCCTGTCACCCGGCAGAGGTTCTGCCTCGGTTTCATTGAGAACGTTCAATGCTGAGCACACTGGGACCTTGATGGTGAGCACAGGTGGGGAATGGCCGCTGGGCGAGTCAGATGCTGCCTCTCCCTCTCCATCCTCAAAGGGGCAGAGGATGGTGCTTGACATGCAAGTGGCTTTGGCACGGGAGACTTGGGATGACAGGGACATTCTGCACTCCGGATGGAGGAGGCCTGAGCTCCAGTGCTGGCCTTGCCTCTGGTTCCACCATGGATTTGGGCGTGTTCCGTCATCCGCCCCAACACGTGAGGCTGGGATCACACTTTGGGGAGGAATCACTGCTGTCAGCTGAGGGTTTGTGTGTGGAGAATTTTAAGACACCTCCAAGGGGCCCAGCCGTGCTGTCTCCACCCTGAGGCCCCCTGCCCTTTGGGGGTGGGTAGGATCTGTGAATTTGTGGACGTGTCTTCATGGTGACTTGGATGGCCAAAGTGAAGAGATTGCATTTAGGTTCACGTTTCATCAAAAAGAGACTCGTCCTGCGTGGGCCTGGCCGGGTCATCGGGGCCCTCTGACAGCAGGCCGAGGCCTCGTGGGGTGGTGGCTCTGAGCAGGAGAAATGCCTGCCTTTCACCCGGTGGCTCTGACACGTGAAGCTGTCATGGATGCCACAGCCTCAAGGATATGGACCCCCCAAGGCACCCCAGTGAAAGTGGATCTTTTGCTGGGTGTGTTGGGGCGCCCCTGTCCCCCCAGCACTCTGGAGGCTGAGGCAGGAGGATTGTTGCAAGTTCAAGACCAATCTGAGCTACAAAGTGAGCCCAAGGCCAGCCTGAACTACATAGAGAGACCTCATCTGACAAAAACAAAATAGCAATAATAATAATAATAATAATGATGATAATAATAATAGAAAGAAAGAACGAAAGTGGATCCTCCTGCAGTTGGATCTTGACCACCTTGACCTCAGCCTTATAAAAGCCTGAGCTGAGTGCCCGGCCTTCTCGTGCCATTGCTGGATCCACGGAAACCCCGAGATTGTGCAGGCACCGTGTATGGCAGCCTCGTCACCAAGGTCCATGGTATTGCAGGCTGGGCCTTTGTGAGGCGACTGCCCTGAGCGCCCTGCCATCAGGCATGGGTTAACTCGCTTGCCAGGCAGGCTGTGGAATGCAAACTTCTGGGGATGCCAACCTCTCCCTTTGGGCTGCCACCCTACCAGGACCAAGTGGGGCATGGAGCCCAGCTCAGCTGCTCTGGGCTGAATTTCCCTGGGGGCGGGGGACTGAGCTGATGGTTTGAAATAAAACTTTTCAGTTGTCTGGGGTTTTCCCTGGGCGCATGTCGCACTGAGCTCCAGAGACAGTGTGTCAGTGGGTTTCTGGGGGCCCTCTTCCCTCATGGGTGCTAGGTTGGTAGCTTCCCATCTGGGGTGGAGTGGGGAGAACTTCTCACTGATCCCAGTGGTGTGCTGCCTCCTAGAATTAACGTGTGTCACAGCCCTGTGATTTAGTGTTGCCGGGATCGTTCCAGTGGAAGCCAGGAGACGCTTGTGGCTGGCCGTTGGATCTTCCATGTCCCACGCAGGTGGCCCTTGGGGTGCATGCAGGGTGATGCACCCCACGTTGTCTTTTTGTCTCAGCAGGGCAGCCCCGTGGCCATTTGTGGTGGAAAGCCTGACGGTCTCTGCTGTGGGAGAGGAAGATAAAGAAGCCTTCCCTAAAAAAATAAACTTACACCCGACCGAGGAGGCTGGAGCCAGATGTGCGGTGCCCCACATCTCCGTCTCAGGAAACCAGCTCAGTACAGTGCTGGTGCTGTCCCCGAGGTGTGCGGGGCAGAGTTCCCAGCCATGCGGCCCAGAGGACTCTGCTTCCTGCTGGCTGGGAAACGGAGCTTGCTGGCTTTCCAGCACCTTCTCATCTGAGCCTGGGGGGATGGTGAGCCCGACTGCCCTGCAGAGAACCCCCCAGTTCCCTGAGGTCTGCAGCTCCTCAGAGAATCTCCAGCTCTGCTTCGAGGCACTGATTCCCTACCAGCATCCTTCCTGGTGTGACGCCCGCCACACAGGGCCCTCCGGCCACATCAACATCCAAGCTGGAGGGCCAGAGAGCAGACGCTGAGTTTTGTGCACCACCCTCCCCCTGCCAATTATGATTATTAATTCTAATTCAGACTCACTTTCTCTTAACATCTCTCCCAATTCTATTTTTGTTTGTACATTTTACAGTGTGTCAGTGGAAGATGCTGGACGTATTCTTGCTGGGCAATCACATCGCTATCACTGACACGGAGGGAAGCAAGTGAGGGAATTAGATCAACCTGGGGAGGAAGGAAATTAAGGGTGTCTGAGGCTAACGCGTTCTATCCCCTGCCATGTCCCCTGCATGCAGGCGCCACCCATAAGTGCTGCCCTGTGGCCGCTGGGATCCCAGTGATTTCACCCTGTTGTGCTTCCTGACCCATCAGAGAGCCGCGGCCTCTGGGACGGTGACATACACGGCCGGGGAGATTCTGACACCCACAGAGAGAAGCCAGCAGCCCCCGGAGAGTCTGAGGGTGATTTCACCTGTCTGAGTAGCATGGGTACCTCACTTCCGAAAGCTGCAGGGGGCTTGAGCCCTGGAGCAGCCGAGTACAGCAGGCGGCCCCTGGATGTCGGGAGCGCAGCTGTTTTCCTGAGGTCCTGAGGCCTCCGTGCACGCCCTGCCCCAGGGCCCTAGAATGCCCACCCTGAAGGAGGTCTAAGGAGCAACACTTCTCTGTTCCTTTCTTTTCCCCTGCTGGCTTCTGTGGCTTGCGATTCTGCCCCAGCCACTCCCCCGACCCGGCTGTGCTGTGCTCAGTGCCCCAGGGACAGACTCTGCTTCCTGCTCCAGCCTCCTAGTCTGGCTCTGGCCAGGGGGCGGGGTTTGCAGGAGTGGCAGGGCCAGGCGGCCTGGGGTCTCCTGTGCCCCTCTCCCTGCTTCCACCCCACGGTTCCAGAACTGGCAGTGACTTCCGTGACGTGACCCCTTTTCCAGAGCTCCAGCCTTCCTGGGACCCCAGGAACACAAACCAGGGGTGGCAAAAGCTTCCTACTCCTGCTCTGATTCCTGGCTGTCTCTTGTCGGTTCCTTCTGTCTCATCGGCCTCCCACTGCTTGCTTCCCAGCAGGACCCCATAGATGTGCTTTTCTTTCCCACACGGTTGTGTACCTGCCTCCGACAAGATTTTTGCATTGAAAGTAGCAGGGATACATCTCAGACATCATATGCAATGAAGGGCATTTATTGGCTCACCAGCGGTCTTTAGTGTCAGGTACAGCTGCATCCAGGTGCCCTGGCCTCTGTGGGCTTCTCTCCTGTGACCTCAATGGGAGTCGCAGCCACAGGCCGATGATTTACATTCTGAACAGCTGCCCTGGAAAGATGAGCACTCCCTCCCACAGAAGAAGCCTTCGATCCTGATCCTGGTATTCACGCTGCTGTGTGAGGCCACGTCACCTGGCTGCCTACTTCTGGGCTGGGCATGAGGCTGGCGAGGAGGAGGCTGGGAGATGGGCAGTCCTCCCCCACCACTGGGACTGAAGACAAGGGGAGCATATTTCTCAGGTGGAAATTAGAAGACAGGGAACATAAGATAAGGAAAATTATGGCCACAAATCAGAACCTGGCTCATTCAGATGTCTCAATTCTGTGGAAAAATGGATTTTCTTCCTCACTCTCTTTTGTGAACTGTTTTTTTGAACCCTCTTTTTATGGGACCTCAGGATATCTTGGCAGATTTAACTGCTTTCTGGCCCACTGACATTGATCACAATGAGTTCAACTCACCTTCAGCAGGGATCCTTGCAGTTTTCATGGAACCCTGGCCACCTCTCTCTCTCTCTCTCTCTCTCTCTCTCTCTGATTGTTTTAAAAGGAGTGCATGGTCCCTCCTTGCACTGACTTCCTGTCTCACTCCATACCTCTTCCTCTTCCCTGCTGAAGGTGGTCCCCAGTGACGTCACAAGGCCTCCTTCCACACTGCCACACTTCTCTCACGTGCTCCGTGACGCACGTCCACTGCACAGCGTCCACCAGAAGCCCGGCAGCACAGTCGCCTCTTCCCGCTTGTGTGCGAGCTGCAGAGGGAGGGTCTCCCCACGCTGGTGGGGTTTGCCTGCTGCCTGTGGAGGGGTGTCTACGTGGCTTCCCAGAATCCTCTTTAGATGTTTTAGCCTCCTTCCCTCAACTTTGGGGACTTTGTGGCAATTCTGGAGCAACAGGAGCAGCCCCCAACCTGGTTCCTCCAGTGTAAGTGACAGAGAAAAGTCTTTAAAGAGAAAAACTTGCCCAGGGACTCTGGCTTTCCCGGTCTCTGGGAGAGCAGAGAACCAGGCCTGTGAGCCACAGGAAAACATCACCCCAAAGGACGGTGCACCCCCCGATGCCCCAACCCTGCTCCAGGCGCAGTGCAGCTGCTGTTAGCCTTTGCTAGAACAAGCTCCCCACACCGCTGCCTTTCACCAGGAGCTGACCTCATACCTGGAGGGGCACCAGGCTGCTGTGCCCGCCTCACCGTCCTAGTCCAAGTGTGGCCTTGGGGGCAGCAAGGGCTGCGCCATGTGAAACCTCCTATTTCTGGGGTGCCTGGCTTTGTGTCACTGAGCGGGCATTTGCATGGCCTGGGGAGGGGTTCAGAAGCTGTGTGATCAAGGTGTAGTCAGGTGCCATGTCCACTTCACCCAGCATGACCAGTCGAATACTCACCCCCAGAGGCAGTGGGCCCTAATGTTTGCCATCTGTGTGTGGGGATCTGATGTGGCTAAAGGGACCTTGATTTGGGAAGGCGACCTCTGGTGCCCCTGGGGCTGGTGACACAGGAGGAGGCCAGCAGCCAAGGAATGCAGGCAGACTGGAAATGGAGGAAAAGGCAGGGGTGCAGGTTCTTCACTGGAGCCTCCAGAAAGAGCTACGCTTTTAAGACTTAACCCTGAGAATCTTATTTGAGCTTCTTGCAGTTCTGTGGTATCATCATTCTGTGCTGTTTTGAGTCACCAGTTCTGATAATTTGTTTCGGCAGCCACGGGAAACTAACACACCCTCCAGACATCTGCAGGTTGCATGAAGCGGAGATCATTTCCTGTCCCATCTGTGGCCCACGGTGCTTGGGAACAGCAGGGTCCCAGGAGGAGGAGGAGGACACTTGCACTCTGCAGCCAGCAGGGACGTTCCGCTGCTCTGCTGGGGAGAGAATAATCTGCGCTGTGCCCTTCGCTTGCACCGGGCAGCCTTGGCGTGGAAACAGCATGGCGTGAGAGCTCCGCACGCCTCCCCCAGAGCCACAGGAGCCACCTGGAGCCAATGCACCACTCCTGAGCTGCAGATTGGAAAACAGCTCAAGCTGAAGGGCTTAAGGAATCCCAGGGAACAAAAGCACCTGGAGAGGGCCTGCTTGGGAATAACTCCTCAGCAAGCTGGAAAATGCCTTGCACACCGCTGCTGCCTCTGGAACTCCTTTGGGGCAGGAAAGGCCCCTGGTCTTTAGAGCTCCTTCCCTGCAGAAACAGAGCTGTGGACAGCCAGGTGGGGGGCACTAGGGCGCTCTGCAGACGGGCTCTCTCCATTTCCATTCCTAGCTCAGGAGGGCACAGTTTTGCAGAGCACAGGGTATATGGGTGGGTTTGGGTGGGAGCTGGACCACACAGGCCGCTCAGCTTGCAGCTTCCCTAGGGCTGATCCTAAACCCAGAGCAGACAGCCCTCTTCCCTGGGACAAGGGCTTCCTCTGGGCTCCCTGTCCTGTGACTCCTGCCCGTGAGAGGCTCCTTGTGCCATGTACTCTGATGTGACCATATGATCCCTGTTGAGCTAAACTGCCAGTGGCCTCGGCCTTTCCCTGCCATCTGTCCACTCTGTTGGGACGGAGGCTTCACAAAAACCCACGGCCCTCCTATCCCACCCTCAGCCTGACCGTACTCCCATGTGACTCCTCCGGAAGCTTCCTGAATGCCTGGGTTTCTGCACCACCCCCGTGACCCAGACTCTCCAGGAACTCACTGCTGCTCGCTGGACTCTGGGGAGGTGAGGCCGTGTCCTTCTTGGGGCTGTGGGTTTCTCCACGAAGGGACATGCACTAGCAAGGCCTCCGCAGTCCCCCACTCACCCTTGGTGGCTTCTCGTGTCAGTGCTTTCCTGGAGGGAACTTTGGGCCTCTGCCTGAGGGCTTGCGGTGCTGGCCCTGCCTAGGGCTGTGGTCTGCACTGTGAACCCACACAGCTCTGTGCTTGGATTTCAACAGGTCACCTTCATCGGTGACGGTGCTGAGGTTTTCACGTCTAAATCCCGTTTCTGTATTTTTGCACATCCAACCTTGGTCAGAGGGGAAAGGAGTCGCTCTCTGGACCTCCAGTCCTCTCTCCTCCAGACAGCTTCATCCCTAGGCGGGAACACTAACGGGCCTGTCCTCATGGAGGGGTTCTAGTTTAACTTTTAAATACACAAGTGCATCATGAACACACTCAGCCCTTACTGCAGTCACTGTAAATGGTCTCAGGAATATTTGTTGAAGTGGTTAAGACCACTAAGCAGGTATTTATGGGGTTGTTTTAAGGGTACAGAGTCTCGTGGTCCTGGATCCCCTGGGGCGGGGCCCGGTGTTTAACAGGCACTGTCAGGTCCAAAGGAGCAAAGCAGTTGGGAGTTATCCGTGACTTCTCCTTCAGCAAATGTCATTAGCGATTGGATTTTCCATGCCGCCAGCCAACAGGGTCCTTACATTCCCTCAGACTCCTGCTGCTCAGCATTGGAGCAAAAAAGGACTCTGTGCAAGGAGGAGGAAATCAATTCAGCTCTCTCTCCCACTCCGTGCTCTCTTCCCTGCTCACGCCATTTTTCTCACCTGGGCTTCCACAGCTAAAAGCAGAATTTTGGCTTTCCCATTCTGATTTCCAATGGCATCTCCACACTTGTCTTCAGTGTCTACAGAGTCCAAGTTTAACTGGGATTGAGGCGGATGGTGTAGGTGTATAAATCCTCCTGCATTTGATTATTTTGTGCAAGTGCTCGCTCCAGGTCTTTCTTCTGGATTTAAGGAGCTGGATTTTGAAGTGAGCCCAAGGCAGAGCTGCAGGGTCCCTTCCTTGGCACCCCGTCTGGGTCTGGGTCAGTTTTTCAGGTGGTGCAAGGGCTGGGGGTCACCATTTGGGAGGAATGTCCTTTTCCCTGGAGGATTCTGATCACAGTAATTGGAAGTTATGGATCATTTCCTCAAAGAATTCTCTTCAGAACTGCAGATAATGAGAGTTTGGGAAAGCAGAACTAACACCTCAGGAGAAGTTTTCTTATGCAGTTGGAGACTTCCCAGATTTTCCAAACAATGCCAGGTACAAAGAGTGCTAGCATCTGGGAGCCTGAGGATGGGCCACAGGCATGGTTTTGCTTTTCATTACAGAAACTTAAACAGCACCAGCAAGCCTGGCCCATCGCCTTTATCTGCCTGCTTGTCCAGGGTGTAGACTGCTCTCATCCTCTGACGTTGTGGGAGACATCAAAACCTCAGCCTTGGTCCAGAGCATTAAATCTGCCATCCTGGCTGCACCGGCAGCACAGGGAGAGTTGGGGGCAGGCAGCCGGGGTCCCTGTGTGAGCCTCTGAGAAAGGATTCCTGGAAATGCCTTCCTGGAAGGTGCAGAACTCTAGCTGCCTTCATGACATGGTGGAGGGAGGGGGTGGCACCCACATGCCAAGGGGGACCCAGATGTCACTTTGAATCATTTTGCCTCCCAGTAAACTTTTTTCAAGGAGGAAGAAAGGGAGAGCTGGAGGCTTGAGCGAGAGCAGCTGAGCCGGAAACAGATGTGCTGAGCGGCACCATGGCAACGTCAAGGCTGGCGTCCACAGAGAGCTTGTACCAAGGTCAAGGTCACAGCACACAGCATCGTGCTTTGTGTGCGTGGACAATGGGTGACATGGAGCCGCAGACACAGCTCCCAAAGTGGGTCTTCACAGCCAGTCCAAAGGGGGTGACCCATGGCTCTGGAAACCAGTATGTGTGGGTGCTGGGGTGTATTTTGGAACACATTACATAGACACAGATTCACATACATATATACATGCATATATATATGCATACTTATTTTTACAAGCATCTCACTATGGTTTTATAGAAATATTGAAAAGCACAGGAAATGAGCAAACACATTATTTCAACAAACATAGTGGAATTTTTTTCCTCTAGTGCTGGAGATCAAACCCACAGCTTTGGCACTGAGCTACCTTCCCACCCCTGTGTTATTTTTATTTCTGTTGCAAACACAGGGTCTCACTAAGTGGCCCCGGCTAGACTTGAGCTTAAGACCATCCCATCGCAGCCTCCCAGAATGCTTGGACTGCAGGTGGGAAATTTTTGATCATTTTTGTGGTATAAAAGCCCAACCCCCTCCCTGTTTTCCGAACGCCAGAGGACGTCATTTCTCTGTTCCTTTGCACGGCTCACAGCTGGGTTGTGACATCATGATGTCTCTCAGAAGGCTCCCGAGGGGGCAGTGAGATTTGAGCCTGAGATATCTGAGGTCTGCTTTATCATCAGTGCCTGTGGCCACACTACTCCCCCCAGAGACTGTCCTTGGCACAGGATGAACACACAGACTGTTCGAAGACACATTTTCCTAACATTTTATGGAACATAACTATCAGAAGGTGGACGTGTCCCTGGCACTGTGATCACACCACACACTTCCAGGTGCCTGCATCAATGGGCATAGATGAGTCCCTGGGGCAGCCGAGGAACACCCGTCCATAGCGCTGGCTTCATCCTGGGCACTTGGTTAGCTGATCCTCCGGGGGCTGGGGAGGGTTCTCATTCCCAGCATCCAGTGCGGTTCTGGCTTCCTGACAGTAAACGCCCCAAAGGAAAGTCCTGGCTGCTATCCGATCAGCGACTCCTGAGGCTGAAACTCCGTGGTGCCCACTCTGCAGGCCCTTGGGACCTCAGGAAACACAGCATGACAGGAAAGATGCAAGATAAGATGCAGACCAAGTTTCTGACCCGCCAAACCCAATATTAATTTAAGTTGGAGGAGATAAGAGAGCCTTTATCGGGAGACCGGGAGGTTATCTGCTTTGAAATAGTCTCTGTCCTGTTGTGCACTACCAAGAAGAAAGAGAGGCAGGGAGCGAGGGTTTCTCTCAGCAGACCTCTGGGTAATTAACAGGCCAAGGGGTCTGGTGCTGCCTGACGGCTGGTCCCATCCCGGGCGCCCTGCCTCCCGGGGCCCCAGCTGCCCCTCAGAGACTCAGGGCTCCGTAGAAGCGTCCAGGCTTCCTAACACGAACTTAAAAGTAAGTCTCTGTCTCTCAGTCTCTGTCTCTGTCTCTGTCTGTCTCTCCTGTCTCTCTGTCTGTCTCTGTGTCTCTCTCTGTGTATCTGTCTCTCTGCCTCTGTCTCTGTCTCTCTGTCCCTCAACACTCAGCAAATTTCTGAATGACCATAGGGATCAGAGTGCCACTTTGTCCCCAAGCACCAGGAAAACAGAAGGCAAAGGGAGCAGGAGTGATGGCGAGAGGGATCCGGTCACATCTGTGCATGGGTCCCACGCTCAGATCAGGTGAGAAGGGCCAGAACCCAAGCGCTGAGGCCTCTCACAATCAAAGCCCTTGAACCAGAGCTGCTCTTGGTGGCACGCAGACCTGGCAGGTGCGCTGCCCTCTCCAGATCCTCCAGGTATCCCAGGTAAGCAGGCACGCTTCGTGAAACAGGGCCGCCTGCAGAGGCAGCTGTAGGATGAGCCCTCCTCGCCGTCCATTCCCAAGCAAATCTCACTTGGAAGCCCCTCTGTCCCTTCACTGGCCCACGGTGCCATAGCGTGCAGGTGCCAGCCTTCTGCTCCTCCTCCCGACCCCTATGGGGAGCCAGAAGCTGACCAGCTCTGCGGCCTCTGTTAATTATTTAACCAGCACAGTGATTGAAACCTCAGACCACCCTTATAGCAGCCGCCGATTTTACCAGCAGCCGGAGACGTCTTCCGACCACACAATTAGTCTTTGACAAATGGTTCTCTCCTTTCCCCACATTTTCCCTAGGGGGTTATTGATGCTGTGGAGAGCAAAACATCGGAGCAGATATGATCCCCTCACTGTGGTACAGCCACCTCGCAAAGATCCGTCCTCAGCGGTGAAAACACCATGCATTAAAAAAAAAAAGCAGCCAGCCCAGGAGCTGGAAGGTGAGTTACTGGAGAGAGAGGGACTGGCTGTCCAGTGGGACAGGAGGTGCTCTCCATGTTCCTGAAATGCCACCTCTGGCTCGATCATCACAGAGGCCGCGTTGGCTGTTTATCTCTGCTCTGTACCACAGGGCTCTGGACCGGGTTATTTTGGTTAAGCTGGTTTTTCTTGTCGGTACTGGCAATTGGCCTCATAGCCAGACTGTGTAGTTAGAGAGGAATGTGCTATTCTATTTGCAGAACTGGGTTTGCCTGAACAAGGGCCAATAAATCCCTTCTGAATTAAAATGAAGTAGATTTATTAGGTACGGGCTTTCTAGTGGAGGATATCATGGCTATTTTAGCCAAATTCCCCTGAAGTCAAATGTAACACACAGCAGTTTCCACCCAGAGAGGGAGCAAGCGGATCAAGACTGGAGTGTTGGCTGGGTTTCCAAGAATGCTAAGTTCTGGACATGGATCCAGTCCCGATCCCAGGGAGAAAACATGCATTGGGGGATTGTGGTTGTTTTTCTCTAAATGGACTAACTGCTCTGGTATCAACAAGCGCATGTTGGGAGGCGCCGCCTCCCGCGACTGCTGGTGTCCAGTCACTGCTCGGGTCCTGAATGGTCTCTGTCTGTCTCTCTCTGGGGTAGCCAACCTCCAGGCAGAGATGTGCTGTGAGATGCCCCCACCTTTTCACCAGACTTACCTCCACGTCTTCCTGCGTATTCTTGACTCCAGATAAACTGTCCTTCGTGGTCCTCCTATCCCACCTTCACTGTCCTCCATCCCTTTTTCATTTGAAACACCTCTGGTCTCAGGGAAAACGTTCTGTAAATGTGAGTCTCTTCTGATTCCAAATGTATTCATTTTTTGTTTATTCACACAATTCCTATCACATGCCTTGCTTGGATAGGCTTTTAGGAATCCTCAGTGCACTTTGTACAAAAATTAAAATAACTAATGCGGTCAACAAAGATTTACTGAGTGACTGACTGAATGAATGAATGGATGAATGGATGGATGGATGGATGGATGGATGAATGGATGGATAATGGATGGATGAATGGATGGATGGATAATGGATGGATAGATGGATGAATGGATGGATAATGGATGGATGAATGGATGGATGGATGAATGGATGGATGGATGAATGGATGGATGAATGGATGGATGGATGCATGGATGCGTAGCTTGATTTTAGTTATCCAACTCCTTCAACTCCTCATGGACAGTATACAGGTAGTGCTATGTATAGGCAACTGGTTCATTGTTTTGAACAAGACAAAGAGAAGCCTGAAGTCAATTAAGGCTTCAAATTCCATCAACTGGGTTAGCAAATACTATTTCCTAACTTAAAACAGTCAGAAGATCTCCCTATCAGCAGTTAGTGGCTCACATGTGGTTTGTTCTTGCTCAGTGATTCACTGTCAGTGACATTCAAGCACTCTAATGGTCCTAATTTTCTTCATTCAATGCCTGACTTGATGCTATGGTTTGTGTCTAGGTGGCGCCCCGAGCCTCATGCAATCATGCAGGTGACTGAATCTAGCATTTGTGATAGGTTCATTGTCTAGCACAGGGATTGGTGGTGGAAGAAGGTGTGATCTTTCCCCCTTTTGTCTTATTTGCTCTTTCCCTTTGCAGCCATCATGAACCGTTGGCCCTCAGCCTCGCCGCTCTGCCTTGGAGCCAACTGAATACGAACTGAAACCTCCAAAGAATTGTAAGCTAAATAAACCTTTCTTTGCTTCACTTTGGGCACTTTGTCTCAGCAACAGGTGAAAAGGAACCAAGATACTTGATTAGGAGCAACTCTTCCAGTGTTGAGAGGTCTTTAATGTTCTGTGAGAAGTTGCCAGTGTGGTGTATGTGGCATGGTAAACGCTTCTCCTGGACTTTTGCACTGGTCCTTGTGGGGTTCGAGGTGCTGTAAGGGCTGCAGTTGCCCCTTGTCAACGAAGCTACCTCTAGTGTGCTGTGGGGATGTGTCTCAGGAGCTAGAAAGGAAGCCAGCTGCTGGGAGGGCAATGCAGTGTGGTGAGATCTGGGAAACGAAGCCAGTGAGGAGGGGGAGGACACCATGCTCTTGGAGACCCAGGCCCCGTCCTCTACAGAGACAGTGTCCTCCATGAAGCGGGTGCTGGGTTTATAGATGCCCCTGGGCATTCCTTCGTCTGCAGCCAAGGCACCCCTAAACTCTTCCTCACATCAAGATGCCTCTCTGCAGAAGAAAGAGAATTTAGAAAGCGGGAACTGCACTTCTGTTTCTCCCTGGTCCAGCAAAATCCTCAGTACACAGCAGGTGCTTGAGAAACTTTGTCAAATAGAGAGTCAGTGAAGAAATCCTCGAAGATGGCAACTGGTGAATTATTTCTATGGAGAGTCTCAAAGAAGAGACTGTTTGGTTAAAATGACAAAGTCCCCTAAATTTCCTTTCACCAAAGGCAATTGTTTAAGCATCTTGAGAGGAGAGAACAGCAGTGGCTTAAGGTCATCCTCATAGGAAGGTGCTTCTGCCTGCTAAGAAGGTCCCTGGGCAGAGTTGAGATGACTCCAATGCCCAGAGCTTCGCTCAGACACCGTGTCCTGGAGCGCCGTTGTTGTGTCCCTGGGATTCAGGTGTCAATTCTGTTCTGGATGCCAAGGCTCTATCAGCCCGTGGGACTCTCAAGTTGTTGACCCGTATGGTGCCTAAAGGGCCAAAGGGCATCTATGGCTTTATCCGGGATGGATAGCACATGTGTCTCATTCCCTAGAAATTTCCACACCCTTCTGTGAGCTTGTTTTCTACACCATGCAACTAAGATGCATGGTGAGATGCCAATCTCCCTTAATGGACAGTTATCTCTACTGTCATTTGCCTTGAGTGGTTAATTACAGCTCTAGAAATCAAAATCTAAAGACCCAGACAAACTGCACGGAAACCAAGGACACTGAAGCTTATCTTGTGATGGTTTCACACTGCCAGGAAAAGCAGCTATGCATGAAGTATGATAAAAAAGAATAAGGTGAATCTCTAAATTTAAAAAGTATATTTCAGTAAGACACACTGTCACTGACTCCACTGAAAATGCCCCGGTGATCTAAACACACCTGTCCCATCCCTCCTGACCCACTCTGAAGCAGCTCTGGAAGTCCTCTGCTTGTCTTTCTTGGTGTGTGTGGATGTGGCTGCCTTCACACCCTACATCGACTCAAAACATTTACAGTTGCAGTCATTTTGACTTTGCAGAAGGGCTGGTGACGGAGCCAGGGAGTATTTTGGATGAGGACCCACTGTGACATTTTTATAAACCTCTGCTCTGCGACAGTGCTTAGCCCCAGGGTTCATCAGATCCTTTTTTTTAAAATCACATCTCGGAAAGACACGAAGGACGTCCAGAACTGCTTCGAACAGCCGCTAAGTGTGTCCGGAGAGAGGGGAAGGATTCTGAGTGGGATCAGTGGCACTGTGCCTTTGACTCTAACAACTTCTTCTAACGTAAGCATTTTGATCCTAAGTTCATATGGGGAGTGGAGCCCAGCAGAAATCCGCATTTACTCTCAATTAGGTGACTCTTGCTGCACTTAAGTGGCCCTCGGAGTTCTCAGAGGATAATCAGAATCCCCGTGCTCACGCAGGGCTGCAAAGAAAGCCTGCTGCCTCCAGAGAGACCGAAAGCCTTGTTACCGCAAAGGAGCCTGGGAAAGCTCTCAGAAGCCTTGGGAATCCTCACCTCCAGAACAACTGCAGCTCCAAAGGGATCACCAAAGCAGGCTAGAAAGGCTGGAACTGTGTGTGACTGAGTATCCAGCACCTGGAGGGTAAAACACGCACGTATAAACTCCAAGCATCCATTGCCAGCTAGGGGAAGAGAGGAACATATAAAACACAGAGGACCGATAGGTAACTGACACTGATCCAGAGCTAACACACATGGAGAAATTAGCGGACAAAGACATCCAAACAACTATTAGGACGCCATCCTAAGTTCAAAATGCTAAGGCACGCAGGGTGTGTGTTTTTAAAGACATCTTCTTCCTAGAGAGGAAGACAGCACTGTCTGACATGAAAAATTCATAATTAGATTAAGAGCCAATTAGAAAAAATACTAATGAACGTGAAAACAATAATGGAAAATACCCAAAATGAGATGTAGAGATTAAAAAAAAAGAAGAGAAGAGAACCCACGAGTGTAAGCCAGATTTACTGTTCGTACAATGGGAGGCCCCGAGGAGGAGGAGAGGGAGGGACAGAAGAATACCGGAAGAAAACAGACCAAATGTTTTCACATTTGGTGAAAATTCTAGATCCACAAACCCATAAAGCTCAACAAACTCAAAGGAATGCGAAACCCAGGAAATGTGTTAACAAATGAAATGAAATCACAGCACGATTAAGATGTTCAGAAGCAACGATACAGGAAAAAACCCTTAGAAGAAACGAGCACATTAGACACACGTGTACCCGAGAAGCAGAAATAGGGTTCCCGCAGATCTGTAGTCAAACGCGGTCATCTTCGTATTCCTGCTGAAAAATTGCCAGCCCAGAATTACGTAACCAGTGAAATTATGTCTATAAAATTAGGGCAAAGTAGAGATCTTTCCAAACAGACAAAAGCTGAAATGATTCAGCACCTGCAGAACTACACTGAGGAATTACCAAAGGGAGGGGCTTGGGCCAAAGAAATCTGACACCCGACAGAAGTGTGGATCCTTGTCCTGAGGCGGAGGGCAGCAGAGACTACAGGAGTAACTGTGCACCTGCTGTTGTGCAAATCTCTTTGAAAATCAGGTCAGCTGCAAAAATACAGTAACGGTCTGTCTGAGGGGCATTAGAGATAAGAAAATCAAATGCACAGAATAGTGTAAGGTCCAGGAAGGGGAGGAGATGTGTATGGTATTTTAAGGTTCTTACACTTGGTACCTTATAGCACCAAGTGGAGGAGATACGCTATCATAAGCTAAGGATTTATATACTGTAGACACTAGTGTGACTAAAAGAAAAACCCTAAACTAATAAGACAATAAAGAAGATAAAGTAGCATTAATCCAAACTAAGGCAGAATAAGAGGGAGGACAGATACCAGACACAGAATACAAAACAAAAGTTGAGGGGCTGGGGGTTTAGCTCAGCGGTATAAGCGCTTGCCTTGCAAGCCTGCGGTTATGAGTTCGATCCCTGGTACCAACACAAACAGATCAAAAAAACCCACAAAATAAAAGTTGATAAACTCAAGCAAAAGTATCTGATTTACATTTAATAATCATGTTAAAATAATATTAAAAGTATGGTTTAAAGTATGATTAAAAGAGCTTGGGAAAAAGTATGATTAAAAGTAAAATTTAACATTCATATTAAAAGTAAATCAAACTAAGCGTAGACATTGTTACTGTTAAGGACTAGGTTGTTGTGTTTCTGTAAAATTTGTGTGTTGAAGCCCTAAAGCCCCCATGTGATGGCATTAAGAGCCAGGGTCTTTAGAAGAAAGTTTTGGCCCTGGGGACCATGAGGTAGGATCCTTGTGGGGTGCCCTTACAAGGGGGCCCCGGGAGCCCTCTACCATGTCGGAAGGCATGAGAGATCAGAGCCCTGCACCCTGCAAGAGGGCGGCAGAGGAAACCCCGCCCTCAGCCTTGCAGAACTGTGAGCAGCTTGCGGAACTGTGAGGAGTAACACCGCTCTGTCCGAGCTGCCCAGCAGCTGAACTTTACTCATACACACTCGGCTCTGATGAAAAAGCGAGTCCCAACAGCGGGCTGCCTACAAGACACCCACTTTAAATAGAAAGGCACGGACAGGTCAAAGGCTAGAGGAACAGAAACAGACGGGCCGAGCAGTAACAGTCACCAGAGAGAGCTGGGATGCAATACAGCGGCTAGCAGAACAAAAGAATGAAATAAATCAGACTCGCATGTGTAAACACTGCGGTTCCTGCCATCAAGATGTCTACCACCGATAGAAGATAGAGAAAGATATTATCCTGCTAATCTGTTAGTTCATCAAAAAGAACAGTTTGTGTTTTTACTGTGTGATCATTTTTTCCTGCCTCTTCCTTGTCATCCGAGCCACTGCTGTGAAGGTTACAATATGCAATATATAAGCCATTGTTAATCTCCTATAGTTCTAGTTTGAAGTTCTGTATCATCGTCTTTATTCTTTTTTCATTTTAAAATAAGCAAAAGGATGAGTGGTGGGTGTGCCCGACAGCACAGGTGAGTTTCAAAGTAACGAAGAAGCCAGACCCCCAAACATTCTTCCATAGAAACTTTTGGAAATCATCAGTGAACTGATAGAAAGCAGGTCCGCTGGCTGTCTGAGGGCAGGGTCACAGGAAGGCGGAATCACAGAGGTGTGTGGGGGGCATGGGCGCAGTGGGTGGGTCTTCTTGCTCCTGATAACCACGATGATGACTTCCCCAGCTCGCGCACCTGTCAACGTACATCAAATCGTAAACCTTAAATATGCACGCTTTATGGTGTGTGAAGCATACTTGAATTAAGTTATTAAAACATTCATGATCTCTTACTCCTACAGATTTTAATTTAAGGTCTGTAGGGGGTAATATGGACTACATCATGTCTTCCCAAAAGCCCATATGCAGAAGCCCTAACCCCTAATATCACCATACTTGGAGATGCAGCCTCTGAAGAGGTGGTGAAGGTTACTGGGGCACTGAGGCTGGGCCCTGAGCCCACAAAGCTAGTGTTCCTGGGAGGAGTAGGTGAGGTACCAAGCTTGTGCTCACGTGCAGAAGAGGACGTGGGAACACAGGGATGACAAGGTGGCCCTGCCAGCCACGGACGGAGGCCTCCCCTCAGAGCGGCACGGCCAGCACTGTGACCTTGGACGTCTGCCTCCAGAGCCCCGCAGAGAATGTGTCCTGCTGGAGCACCTCCAGCATGGTGTTCACATGACAGCTGGAAAGACACCGCTCGGGGTCTCCTAGGAGCTGTGAAAGCTCTCGGGGAGTTCGCACCCGGGCCAGGACTGTGCCACATGTCCAGTCTGGTCCTGTTAAATGCTCATTCTGACCCCCCATCAAGATGCCGTCAATTGACTTTGGGATTCTCACTTTCTTCTGTGTCTGGATCTACACCCACAAAGGTGAAATCTTGTACACCAATTGGTCAAACAATTTATGTGTCAGAACAGAACTTTATCTGCGTGCAGATCAACAAATATGTGTGTGTGTTAGGGTGCAGATCCCGACCTCCGTGATGGGACCTGGCCGGATAAAAGGCAGAACTTCCTGCCACCAAAATTTCATATCCTTCTTGCAGACACATATATCGTACCCAAGCACGGCACTTTCCGCAAGCCAAGTCTCCTAATGTGGTTGAATTATAAAAAGTTCCCAGTGCAGTGTTCTATTCATTTACATTTTTATGCTTACAAAAAAAAATTCAGCATGCAATTTATATAAGAAGGCCTGAGTTATTTGGAAAACATTCAGGTTTCCCAAGAAAAAAACAACTACAAAGAATTTGAGTTGCAGGATTAAAAGGCAGGTTCGGTCTGAGCCTTGAGCCAAGAGTAATAATTAGAGCATGCACCATAAAACTGGATTTTAATTAAATATACCTTTGAATAAGAAAGCGTTTTGTGAAGGGTAGTGCATATAGAAGGCTTTCAGAATGGCCTGATAACATCCAGAGAATGTCCAACATTCTTGAGTTTAAAAATGGAACTGCTTTTAAAGCAAGTCCAACAAAACCAGCTCTAATGCCTGCAATGCAGGCTGCTTCGTTCTTTCTCTGGTGAGACACTCGGGATGTCCTGATGGGAGCTGCTCAAGGGGCCCTGTGTGGTCTTGGGGTCTTGTACGTTCCATTTCGCTTCTAGCAGCTTATCCAATACAGGCTGAGCACAAGGTAAAATTCCGCATGACTGAGCTTTGAGGAAACACAGAACTTTTTTACTTAGCATGAAGGATCAGATGGAGAAAAGTCACTGGCTGTCACTTTAATATTTTATGCATAAAAAGCCCCATTCGTCACCCAGGTACATTGTTCTGTTATACTGTTTCCGATGAAGATGGCCCTAGATGAATGTTTAATGGCAGAACATGGTGTCTCTGCAGATTTAGAATCTGCAAATTAGGCTGGCCCTCTCTGCCAGAAACATCTGTCTGCTTCCATATGTGTCGCTCTTAGATGGAGAGAGGTGATCTTTCCCTGGGTCCCCGCAGATGTGCGGTTCCATTTGGTAGCTTCTGAAACAACCGTTCCGAATCCTAATGGCAACCAAGCATTACAGCTCCGCAGAATGTGCCAGCTCGGGTTCCTGATGGCTCCAAATTGACAGGCTGGGGCACTGACATCTTTGCAGATGAAAGGTGAGGAAGAGAGACTCTCGTGCTCAGTGAAAGGTGCCCCCCAGGACACGCAGACAGCGGATCTCGTCCCCTGGTGACTTGGGGGCACTGTCCGTGAGCCCTCTCCGAAGTTTCAGCCCACCAGCACCCACAGGTCCACATTTCCTTAGGGCAAAATCTGAAAGATACAATGAAAGTTGGACCATGAAGCACCGCGTCCCATATACACACTCAAGCAGTACCAAGTGGTTTTCTTTTAAAATTCAAACGTCGTTTTCAAATGCACTTCCTATTTGGCAAATCACTTCTGGCTCATTCATACACACAATGTAATACAAAAAACATCCATTGGATATGACAATGCCCATGATGGACTGTCTCCTTCTATGAATAAACAGTGGCTTGCAGCGACTGTAAGGCATTGCTTACCACTAATAGGGCTGAAATTATGGCGAAATTCTAAATGGACAGTACTTATGGTAATTAGTTAAAAACCACTGACAGAAACAAAGTCCTCTGCTAGAATAACAGCATTCAGGCTTCAGCCTCCATTAGGATGGGCATTACCGATTCTCCCAGAAAATGGTCTTTATCGTTTCCTCTTATCTTCCAAATGAGGGGAGCTCCTACAGCTGCTCGGGCATCTGGATCCTGGCTGCTCCCGAGGGGCTCCCGCCCCGTCCTACCTGCTGTTAAGACGTTCTCATGGGACCGCCAAGGGGGTCCACACCCCCTCCTCGCTCCCTGCCACCCCTCTCCTTGGCTTCCGTCCATCTCCTCGCCATGCAAAAACCTCGATGTGCTGAGTGCTTCCGGCCCATCTTACTGTACTCTGCAGAAAATGTAAACATCCTTTGTGGCCAAAGGACTTCCAGGGCCACCCTCACCAGGCCCCTTCTGAGTACTTCCTGCCTTTCCCTCCCCATCCATCCTCCCTTCCCGGCAGCCTGTCCCCGAGGCCGGAGCTTAGCAAGCTGTCACACTCCCCCTCCTCTCCCTGGCTCCCTACTCCCAGGCTGCTCAGGACTGGTGCTTGGGGGAATCCGGAATACCTGTTATGTTACTGTCAACTATTCTCAAGGGTCAGGTTCCCAGGAGCTGTCTGTCCAGGCAAGGGCAGCCCAGCTCTAACACCAAGCGCACCATCCTATATAGAACATCCCTCAGTCCAAGGAACTGTATTACACAGTATGTGTGATGCTAAAGCCCCAGGGCCAGGAGAAGCTCCCCACCATGCAGACAATCATCCCTTGCTCCCCTGTGGTTGATTCTACAACCAGAATCTGTGGGTCACCATCTGCTTGATCCCGCACAGGGTGATACTTGCATGTAACCCACAGAATCCTCATGCACACTTCAGTTCACCTCTAGGCTCCTTATAATAACTAATACAGTGTACGTGCCACGTAAATAGTTGGTGTCCTATATGGTTAAAGGAGTAACTGCAGGAGAAAAGCCCACACATTCTCAGTATGGATGCAGCTCTTTTCCATCACTGGTGGAGCATCTGTGGCTGTGGAAGCTGTAGGTGTGGCGGGCTCACTGGCGTGAGTCGACAGGTCGCCAGAGGTCAGCACTGCCCCTTTCTAGCTTGGACTCAGTTTTATTGGAAGCCTGGGAAGGCAGAATAGAAGAAAGAGGGCAAATAAAATCAGAGTTCCACCTGGAATTTGGTCTCCAGCAGGACAGGAGACAGATGACCAGGAGCTGTGCTCTGGGAGGGATGGCGTCAAGGCACCAGTGCTGACCACGTCACACAAAGACAACGGAGCATTCAGAAAAGGGTCCAGCCTTCAGTGGACATGCTCCCTGAAGACCTCTGATATGGGGCAGTTTGGTAGTTGTCACTGTGAAGCAGCCCAGAGACAAGGCTGTTTTTGCAGAGAGAATGTTTTCCTCCGTCAGAACAATGCAAGCATGGCAGGGATTGGGCTCAGATTAAAGGTTCCCAGGGACCTTTGTCCCAAGGGCACAGAACCTCATGAGGAACATCTGTCCACTGCCTGTGCAAGAGTCGGGCTCTGGGCTCACCCTTCCTCCAAGGAATTTGAATCTTTGGCCTTGGACATTGTCTGGGTTACTTTTCTCTCACGCCTGGAACAAAATTCCCAAAACCCAAAAGGGAGGAAAGGTTTATTTGGCTCCCTGTTTGTGGAGGTTTCAGTTCATAATCAGCTGGCTGCAAGGCGGGGTGGCAGGGCACCGGGGTAACGCTTCAAGACGGCACAAGACAGCAAGGCTAGAGCAGAAGGGAAAGCAACTCTCTCTTTCCTCCCTCATATATTTAATTTTCGTACGTGCTCCCCCCAGGGTGGGTGTAGCACTCACAGCGCCTCTGTGCCCTCCTCTTGCACAGGCTGAAGATGTTTCAAAAGTGAGGATCTCGGTTCCCTGCTGAGCATCTTACTTAAATGTCTAAGCTTTCCCAGTTGACACAATGTATCACCCATAAACGAGACCAAAATTGGGGTCCCCAAAGTCCTGCTTCTGAGATGGCTTTTCTGTGTGTGTGCATGTGTGTGTGTGTGTGTGTGTGTGTGTGTGTGTGTGTGTGTGTGTGTTGGGGACCTGAATGGGAGTGAAGTTCAGGTCCAGTTCTTAGATTAACTCAGGCTGGGGAGAGGGGTTGGCTGTGACCTTGTGGGTCAGGTTTAGTTTCCAGAATCACGCATATTAGGAAATCTAAAATATCACTAGAAAGATGGATTAATAGCTTGACAATCAATCATCACTGTAATACACATCTTTCTTCAAGTCAATACAAGTAATGCAAATAACTCAAGAGATAAATGGGTAGAAAATAAAACAGTTCATGAAAACAAACCCCAAATCCATATAAAGGTGCTATGTTCGTCTGTTTGGGTCACTGTGTAAGAACATCTCAGACTGGCAACTGAGGAACACAGACATTTACCTCTTATGGTTCTGGAGGCTGCAAGGCCAGGATTCAGTGACCGGCAGGATAGCTGTCTGGCCAGGGCTCTGGACCCCCGATGGCACCTGCATCGCTGTGTCCTTACTTGGTGGGGATGTGGGCGGGCTTTCTGAGGTCTCCCTTGTTGGGCCCTACACCTATTCATAGTCTAATCATCTCCAAGGGGCTTCACCTCTGAAATCATCACCACGGGGAGAGGAAGGCAGGACATGAATTTGGAGGAGGCCTCAGCATTCAGACCCTAGTGGATACTGGACCTCACCGGCAGCTGTACCGTGAGGACACCCAATTGCCTTCAACCCACCCAAACCCAAGCCATCTTACAATAGGAGATCTGCCTAAGGAGCATCAATCTGGAGGCTCCGCTTCAGAGTCCCACGAGACGATGCACCCAGCTGAGATTTCACCCACTCGTCCGGATGAACTCAGGATACGCTTGAACTTGCGCTCCAAGAAGTCAAAGATGGATCATTCCAGTTCCTGCTGGCCTGAAACTGTCCAGCGTGCTCAACCCGGAGGTGGCGAGTTACAGGGCTGCGACTTGGAAGGAGGCGTGGAGAAAGGCACGGCCAGGAGTCCCCGGAAGCCCACCTGGGAAGGCAGAAGGAGAACCGGGAAGCGCTATTAACCCCAGGTCCAGCAGCGAGGGCACCCACCCCTTGGCACAGTTCCTTTTGTTTTTGTGGATGCAGGCACTTTACAAGTGTTTTTGCCAAACCGTGTTTTCAGTGCACTGCGCACAGCTCTGCTTCTCTTTGTCAGAACCGGATTCGCCTCACAGCTTCTTCCCAGCTCACCCTCCCGAGGGCACCGGCAGGCCCTCCTCCCGGGGTTCGCCAGTCTCCCTTGAACTGTGTCTGCCCTGAGAGTGATTTTCCACCACGGGGCACTGGTCACCGTGACTTTGCAGATAAGACACAGTTGAATTAATTCCCTAAGTGCCCAGCAGCTTCTGGGGAAGATTAGAGGTGAATTCACTGGAAATAGAACAGTTCTGTGGCGAAGTCTGAGAATGACTGGGGCAGAGGAGGAGGGAGAAAGTTCTCAGGGGCGCTGAGCTCTAACCACGGGGCACAAACCCACACCAGGAGCTTCCTGCTAGGCCGGGAAAACGGGGCCCGAAGAGGCTGGGACCTGTTGGGGTCTCGTGCAGAGCAGCCCCCCGAGTTTTCTCCAAGCATCCGTGGCTCGAGTCCCTGCGTCAGCGACTCAGAGGGGAGCAGGACTGCTGTGCCAGCCAAAGCCTGCACATGGGACCATCTTACTCCGACCTCGAGGCAATATCGAAGACGAACTATAAGCTGCAGTTTTGTAGGGACGATCAGGACCTGAACAACTTGTGTGGCCCCTGGAAGGTGTCGCCTGGGCAGGGACGGGGCTTCCAATCAGCAGCTCTAGCCAGAGTCCCTGGCTCCCAAGGCCCCAGGCTAGGATCAGAGCTTGAGAGGGACTTCCGGTGAGGGCTTCAGGGGCAGGGTGACGGTTGTCACGCTGTGGCCTCTCTCTGCATCCTACCGATCCAATGCAAGGTCCCTTCCTTGGAAAGCTCCTGCCCTGTCCCAGTCCTCTCCGCAAAGCAGGTGCGACTGCCACCTCGCAGCCAGGAGCATGTGGCCTCTGCCCTCATGGGACCATCCTAGGGCTGTGGCTCTCCGAGCACTGGTCTTCTCTTCAGAGCAAAACGACGCCACTCACAGAGGGCTGGTGGCAGGTGGTATGTCACGGGCGCCTCAGTGACATTCAGCGGTGGCCGTTGGCACATGGCTTGGAAAGTTGGAGCTGACCCTTTGGCTTTACCTGACAGATGGCTCACACCCCTCCGAGGCTTTCCCCAGGGGCCGTCCCTGGTCCAGAAGGGTGAGTTTGGAGGTTGGATTTCCCGTGTCTGTCCCCATCACAAAGGAACCCTGATGGGATTCCCATGCCTTGCTAGGTGCTAAGTCTGAGGTTGCCCCGTGGCCGCTGCCCACGCAGCCTGGGCCTTGGGTTCCATTGGGCTTGCGGGGTGGGGCTCGCAGACACGGTGGGGCCCCTGGCCCTGTCCCTGCTGCTTCTGGGAAGCCACAATGCGCTTCCCCATGTATCTCGAAGCCCTCCTGGATTGCCGGACAGGAGCGGGACACCTGTCCTCGCATTTGCCCTGGCAGAAAGCTCCCCTGGCCCAGCAGGAGATTTGCATGGAAGGCGCCCCGGCTCCTCCCGCTGGGCCTGGGAAGCCGCTTTGCTTCCCTTGGCCTGGTTCCCTTCCCGCCTCCTCCGGGTGCGGGTCCTGAGATCCACGCGAGGGTCTGGAAGTCGGTAACCAGCATTTACAGCCTGGCTCTTAAGTGGTTCCTGTCATAAAACTAAAGACTGCCAATAGATTAATAAGTGCCATAAAGTGTCTTAAATTCTTAACCACGTGCTCAATTAGGTGGAAAAAATATAACAGTGTCTAATGGTGGCTCGGCCGGGTTTTCCTCGGCTCCTTAGTTTAAAGGCCGGAGTTTATGGAGGGGAGGGGAGGGGAGGGCCCGGCTCAGGAGAGGACGCAAGCTGCCTGCCCGCCCGCCCGAGTCCCCCTGCCCCCAGCGTGGCCTGCAGTCCGGCCTGACTGCCTCTCACCACGCCCACCCGTCAGCACAGGGCCGGAGCTGGCGTCAGCGCAGGTCGCTCTGCTGCTGTGACCCCGGAATGCTTCCTCCCTTCCCCTGCACATCACACCTGTCAGACCCTTCGGGATCTGTCCCTCCTGCCACCTCCACAGGCTGCTCTTGGTTCCTGTTTGGGGTTTTGTCCCCCCAAACTCTCTTACTTCATCCTTTTTCTGCTCAACCACACTCACGTCTTTGTTGGTCCCAAGAGCAGGTGACTCCTACCCCAGCACCTTTGCACCAGCCACTCGATCTGCCCATAATATCCTTTGCCCAGATACCTATCTACTCACTTCCTTTAGATTTTCCAGATATGCCTCTTAAAATGCCATAGGTCCAACCCGTTGTTCTTCTCTCCCAGGAACTGGAAGCACCTTGTGTGTCACACTCACCTGTCTCTGCTTGCTGGAAGGTCACCCTCGAGGAGGACAGAGACTGTTCCCGTCTGCTTGTTCACGGCTTTGTTTTCTGTGCCTGGCTGGGAGCTGACTTGGTCCCAGCGTGAGCCAGGTCACATCAGCTGAAGGAAGCATTAGGTCAGATGTCACCAGTGAGTGTCCACAGTCCCGGGTGCCCATGGGCCAGGGTCTTTCTGAGTTCACTCTTCCTCCTCTGAGCTGTGGATGCCCCAGGGAGAGGCGGCACCTGCTCCTGAGTGTCCCTGTGCATGGCTGTCATCTCCATCTCAAGGAGGAGCCCAGGACAGTCACCCCGGGGGGCTCCATGCCCCTCACTGCCCACCTCCCTCTTAAAACACTCTCCACAACTTGAGTTTAGAAGCTGCTTGCTTGCCTTCCCTGCCTCCCCTCCTCCCTTCTAGAAGCACCAGGCAGACATGACCCAGGTGACACTGGCTGGAACCATGGCCACCACTTTGTGTCAGTGAGGCACAACCAGCCTTCACACCTGAGTGAGGCCTGAGGTGCACACTGCAGAAGCCATCGTGTGCCAGGAGCTAAGCGGGCACTCGCTCCCGGTTTCCTCTAATTGCACCCGAGAGCAGCTGTGGTCACCCTGACCGGAAGTGCTCATCGAGGCTGCTGTTAGTGCCGGACGCTGGCCACGGTCCTCAGCGCTTCAGATGCTTTCCTTCCTTTAAGTCCAACAACACTCGCTTCCTCTTTTTCACAGAGAAGGAAGCCGAGGAGCCTGGGAGCCTCACTGCTGTGCCGAGGACGGCTGAGCTCACCCTCACGCCCGGCTGCCTCTCAGTACTTGGCCTGGACTGCTCTGGACAGGTGGGCTAGAATCACAGCCGGAGGCTCCAACTCGGCCGTGTTGCCTTCGGCTGTTCCGTCTGCACGTGGAGGAGCTGAGGAGACGGAAGACCCAGGACGTCCCAGAGCCCCGCAGCGCCCCGAGCCCTGGGACCCAGGTTCCTTTCTGTCTGAGAAACTCTGGGGGCTCGGTGCTGGGCAGATGATGGCGTGAGAGTCCCTCATCCTAACCCCATGCAGTTCCCTGCAGACGGAGAGACGAGAGGCCAGGCAGGCCTCCTGCTGGAAGGTTCCTCTTGAGGGAGAGCGATCTGTCATTACGGGCCTGGCTGAGTTATACTGTTTCCTATTAAGATGAGTCTGAGTGAATCTTTAGTGACAGAACACTGCGTCTGCACAGATTTAGAAGCTGCATATTAAACTGGCCACCTCCATCTGGACTGCTGGCCCCTCTCCAGAGCCATCTATCACCCGCAGAGCCAGCGAGCCACGCGAGGTCCCTGCAGATGTCGGGCACAGCTGGAGGAAGGATGCCCATGTGCTCATCACTCGAGGAGGCTCCTGGGGTCCCCTTCCAGCACCGCTCTGACCTTAGGTTCAGAGAGTCCCCTGGGGGAGGGATCCAGGTTGTGTGCCCACGCCATCCTCTCTGCTGCCCGGGTGCTGGCTGTGGTTCCCATCAGTGTCCTTGCCCCCGGGCTCCTCTGTCCTGCTCTGCAAAGCACTGGCTCATCCGCCAAGGTCCTCCAGGACTGGAGAGGAAAGACCCACTTAGTGGAACGGCTTCAGGCCACGCCCACCTCCCCGGAGGCCTGCGGAGTTCTAGGGCCTTCTTTGGGAGTTTCCAGGCTCAGCCCCATGGTGACACGGATGCTCGAGGACCCTGGCTTGAGTCTCTTCCAGTTCCCCCATCCTGGTCCTTCTGGGACACAGCGCCCAGTCTGCACGCAGCACCGAGGCCATCCGATTCCACATGGGGTGGTTACCCTCGCCTCTAGCCTCTGGCCCCTCCTGTAAGAGCGGCAGCACCACACCCGTGCCTGCTCTGTGGTAGCCGTGATGCTTGGTGAAGACTCCGAGGCCCCAGCAGAACCACCAGGGGGATGAGAGGCGACCCGAGCCCTCTGCTTGGAGAGCCACCTGTGAGCCCCACAGAGGGCGGCAGGCACATTTCAGGGGGTGAGGCCTCTCGCCTGACATCTGTTCGCTACCCAACTGTAATTAGGAATGTGTGCAGTTTTTAGAATGACAGCTTCACGGGACCCCTTTGGACGTCCTCTGTCTGCTCTGTTTTCATCATGCAGGTCCCAGCTGGACTCCCGTGCCGCGGTGACAGCCACGGGTGCTCCTCGGTGGCTGGGCTGTCTCGGCCGTGAGCCTTTCCCAGCACCTCCTCCTCCTACGTGTTATCTGTGCCCATTTCCTCTCTGAGTTACTAGGGTAAAAACAAAAACCCTTCGTAGAAATTTCTTCATCCTGACGTGTCTCTCTGCTGCTTGAGTTTCCACCCAGATCGGTAGAGAGGGACACACACGCGTGCACACGGGAAAAGGAGGGGGCGTGCTTTGCCTCCCCCTTTAAATAACTAACGCTTCAGGAAAATCAAATTACCCCAAGGAGAGAAGGAGCAGACTTGGAGCCCGGAAATGCCAGAGGTGAAGAAAGCAATCCAGCCTGCGACTCTTCTGACGGGGCTCGGAGGCAGGAGAAAATAACAGGGTGCCAGGGCCCGGCTACACTGCTGCTCATGCACTCAGCTTGTGTGCGGGGAGCCCGTTTTCGTGTTAAATTCAAGCTCATTTTAAAAGTCTGAGTTGATCCTGTATAGGCAGAGCCCGGGATCTCCGACGTGGGAGCCTCCTCGGACGCGCCTGCTGGTCTCTGGAGCCCTCGAGTGACAGCCAGTGGCAGCTTTGCAGATCATTTTCCCTCTTAATGGGACATGGGGAGAGCGACGTGCAAGTCCACATCCAACATCACAGGACAGAAAGAGGCTCCTCTTTCCAGGAGGCCACTCCGCACATTAATATGATGGGAACATCGCAGATGCCGAAAGCTGAGGTGGGACCAGGCAGCTGGGTGACTGCGTCTGGCCGCCTCCCCTGGCTCACCTCGGCCCTGGCAGTTCAAAGAACTATACTGACAGGAACTATCCTGATGCTGTGTTTGTGGATGGCTTGGGCCTGGGCATGGGATCCGGAATAGATTCTCGATAGGAAAGCAGTACCATCGATGCCCTGGCAACCAGGGGCACAGGCTGAGCCTCCACCACTGTGTTCTCCGTGGCTCTGCAGGGGCTGTCGGGACAGACCTGGCTGTGCCTGCTGACAAAAGCTGGCAGGCCTTCGATAGTGAGCTCGGAACGTGCACGTCCCTGTGTGTTAGTGATGTACTGCGTGTGTCTGTCTCGGGCACAGCCCCCATGCATGGACCTGGAGGCGGAGCTGTGGGAAGCAGTCAGTGTAAGTGGAGCCCTGTAGCGGACCAGCATCCCCTTGCAGGTGAGCACATCTGAGGAGCTGGGCTCGGGCAAAGCAGGAAGAGAAGGGTGATCAGGTACGGAGTCTGTGCCACCTTGACCAGGAGCTCACCAGGCTCCTAGAGTAGAAGAACCCACTTTCTGGGGCCCCAATCACCAGGCCACGGCGGTGGCTGGGCAGCTGGTGCTGTGGGTACCAGCTCTACTGTATCCCAGCATCCATTCCTGTGACTGCAGGTGGAGCCCAGGGCCGGTCGGTCACCTGTTAGGGTGAGGATTGCTGTGCTGCAGTCAGGAATCACCACCTGCCCCCATGAGTTTCAGACACTGCTGTCCATCGGTCAGAGGGCAGGCTGCCCAGGAGCAAACACGGGTCTGGCTGGCCTAGTCCCTGGCTTCCTCTGCCCTCCCCAGGGGTTCAGATTGGGGTTCAGCTTGACCTCGTGCTTTATGATGGGGGCCGGAGCCCAGGCTGTGAGTCCACAACCAGGCAGGAGCAGGAGCCTTGGGGAGGCCACTGGGTGCCATGAGAATTCTGCAAACGTCATGACCTTGTGAACGGCTTCACTACTTGGGGTCAGCTGCTGCCAGAGTGGGAGCCCGGCCGAGATGTGGTATTTATTCTGCTCAAAGAGCCCTGTCCCCCTCGGGCCGGAGCAGGCTGCTACCCATGGTCTGCACACCCTCAGCCTGTGCCTCTAGCCCGGGGGGCTCCCTGCCTCCCCTCCCTCCCTGCTCCTGCTGTCTGGCTCTGTCTTCCCCGTGTTGCACACATAATCTGAAACAGAAACGAATATGCAAAAGCCACTTTCTGTTTTAATCAGGTTTGGAGGAAAATATGTCTAACATGCCACTTTGCCCGTGGATAAAATGTTTGACATTTACCAGGCTGCCGTGAATCCTGTCGAACATCTCCATTTTCAAATGCCACTCCACAGCTCCTGGCGCCGGGGTTCGAAAGGCACTTGTCCTACCAAGTGTGATCCTTACTGAAAATATTAAGCAGACTCCTGGCTCATTTAGAGCTGTGGAGAATAGCACTGGAATACAAACTCCCACTTCAGGAGGGAGACAGACAGGTGTTCCCACCACAGAGGGAGGAGGAAGTGGGCCCAGGCCTGAGACCCCACCTCCCTTTGCTGCCTAGCATGTCGCTGTCCTCCGCACTGAGGGTCCCCGAACACCCCGGGGTGAGGCCTGAAGCTGATGACAGGAGGAATCTGCACCTGGGCTTTGCCTAGCCAGCATCCCCGAGCCACTGTCCCCACTTCCTGTCCACACTGGGGATTTGCGATTCTCGCACCCTGTTCAAAGGAGGCCTGGATCTAAGCAGGCAAAGACACAGGAGCTGAGCTCGGGTGACTCAGGCCTAGATGGAGCTTTCTGGGGGTGATCAATGTGCAGGGGACCCCGGCTTCACTCCCTCCACGGATGCCGAGGTCTGAGTGCTGGACCCTCTGTTGCCAGAGCTCACTCTGTACTCAGATCCTGACACACAGTCAAAAGGGCCTGAGCGGCAGGGGGCCACTGTCCTATCCCTTCCTCACTGGAGGCCACAGCAGCTCTGCCTGGAGACCCCGCCCAGAGAGCCCTTCCCAGACACCAGGTCTGCTCATACCTTGGCTTTGCAATTCCCAGACTCCAGAGTGCTGAGAAAGAAGTTTCTATTGTTTACAAATCCCCCGTCCTCAGCCAGGAATATAATTCACTTTGCCCTGAGCCCACTCCTGGGACCCAGGAATAAAGGCAGACGCCTCCTCCCAGGGGCCTGGCTACATGAGGTCCTGACCTGAGCCAGCAGTGTCAGAGTTGGGTAGGGAACTTCGGATTTGAACGCGGGCTCTGGTACCTGTAGACACTTTGCATGGTGTCCCTTTTGCTTACGGAGGTCCCCACCATTGCTGAGCTGGAGCACCTGTCTGCTAGAAAGACAGAAAGGGAATCCTGCATTGAAAGGGGTGCTTGATCTGTGGGTGGAGGTAATAGGGAGCCATTGCAGGTTATGAGTAAGGGCTGGTTTCAAAGCGGTGCTCAGAGAGGTGTCAGGTAATAGGAAGCAGGCAAGGGTCCCAGTCCCTGTGACCCTGAGCGGCAGGGCTGGGGTGGAAGAGAGACCCAGGGAAGATGTGGAATACAGACAGGAAGGCTGGGGCTGGAGGGCTGTGTGAGGGCCCAGGTGCCTATGTGTGTGTGTGTGGGGGGGGGCGCCAGTGCCATAGCTGGCCTGGTAGCAGCTGCCTGCTGGAGGTTGGGGTTGCACGGTGCTTGTGGCCCAGGGAATGACCTTGAGGCTCTGTCTCATCTGCCAGGGACACTGTGGGCCACTCACCAGCAAACGTCCTCCTCCCTGTGCAGCAGGTGCCGACCTCAGGGTGCAGAGGACCCCACAAACTTATGCACACTTGGCCTCCCGGGATCCGGGGATTTCTGTGCACCAGATTTAAATCTTTGCTCACATCCTATCCTGATGGACTTGGCCTCGTGGGAATGTCGGTTGCATGCACACATGTTGCTTTGGGAGAAGACTGTGTGTGTAAGCATGTGTGAGTGCTGTAAGGATGTGTGTGTCTGTGTGGGCAAACAGATGCTTTGACAGAGTGGACCGGGGTGCGGAACTGTCCGCCACAGCTGCCTCCTCGTGCGCACTCCCAGCGCTCTCGAACCCTTCCCAGCTGATTGTGTGCTCACTCCAGCCCTGCTCGCCAGATGAACCAAGCAGGGAACAGACTCTTCTGCCTAATGAGAATTTAAATTTCCGACTTTGTTAGAGGCTTGAGCCTGCAGACGCAGCGTGATGCACATTTCTAAGAGCTCAGCAGGAAGCGGAGGCGCTGGATCCTGAGCTCTGCCTGCATCCCCTCCTGAGCCCCCCCACCCCGCCCTTCAGGAGCTTGGTAACACAAGATGCTCCACCTCGAGGGCCAGCTGGAACCACTCTGTTCCCAGCATTTATCCAGTGTTATCTGTGTGGGAGGAGACGTACACCATGGTGGGACATTCCGTGTTCCTAGACTTGCAGGACAGTGTGAACTCGGGGCTCAGATTCAGGCTTGTAATCTGTTTAATCTCGCTAAGACCCCATGCTGCTATCTGCAACATGAGCCTCTTGTGGGGTTCCTGGGAGTGTGTGGGATGCACTCTGTACTCACCGCAGGCAGCCAGGACCCCTCGAGGCACACACCATCCCCTTAATCAAGACCACATGGCAGAGAGCTGGTGTTGCGCAATTGCCGAGAGACCCTCAGGAAGCATTTCTAAGCCATTTCAAAGCCCTTCTCCATGTCTTTGTTCCAAGTTGTGCTGCCTTATGTTTTATTAGTTCAAACCTCCTGAAACCCTTTGGAGGAGGAGGCTTTTACATCTTGAATGCTGGTGAGGTCTTTTACTCATGTTGGCAACTTGGATGCCCAGGGCACTCAGAGGCGAGGACTGCATGCCAGGGACAGCAGAGCCCAGAGTGGAGGGAGTGCTCGGCTGCCAAGAGGAGCCTTTGTTCATGGGTGCTGTGGGCATTTGCCCAGCCCTGAGCTTCTCTTGGTTCTTCGGCTGTGGGGTGCTGCCTCCCTCTGCCCCCCGCCTTGGCACAGGCAAGCAAGGCTGCTGGGTGCTGCAGTATTTAGCTTGCTCCTGCTTGGGGGGCCTTTGCAGGAAGAGTTTAGCTTTTGCAGAGAGCTGTGTCCCTCCTTGGGTTGTACCAGAGACTGAACTTGAGCCTCCACAGGGCTCCTGCTTCACCCACGTGTGCAGTGGGCTGCAGCATCACTCTGACACACCAGGCACAGTAGGGTCCTTTTCCCGGATGTGCGGGATGGGCACAGGCCGCTGTCACCCGACAGGCTGAAGGGTGGCGACCCTTCCTCTCTCCACATTTCCAATGCTGCTTGGCCCCTTGAGCACCTCAGGGTGCTGCTCACAGGCTCAGAAGGTGGCCAAAGAGGGTCGTGAAGTGCTGAGCTGCAGTCCTGGCTCGATTTTACACGGAAAGTAAGAGGAAGAAGAAAACTCATCTTTTCGAGGGCAACGAAGATTTATGGTGGTCCGAGAGCCAGTGCCTCCTGGGTGTATTGTCCCATTTTAAATCCACCTGGACCTGCCAAATCTTTGTGAAATGAGTCCTTTGCAAACACTGGCCCTTCCCCCAACCGGTCTCACGCTTCAACTGCTCAATCTCCGCTGCCCGCTGGACAGAGATTCTGAATCCAGTGTCTCCCTTCCCATCCATTTTTTGATCATGTGCAACTCCTCAGAGCCTCTTTGAAATGCCAGCATTCCAGGACCAACCTGAACCCCCTCATTTCACTGAAAGCTGCTCCTTTTGAATGAGGCTCTTTTTGAGTGAGGCGTTTAGAAGTCAGGATTTGACCTGCAGGAAATAACCCAGTAAGAATGGCGGAGCATGAAGTGTGGACCAACACCTGTACAATGGGTGGTGTTATGACCCAGTCCAGGCACCAGGGGGCAGCACATCTCGGCTGGGTCCTTAACTCAGAGACAAAAAGACTCTCGGGACATGGGGGCTGGGTGCACAGAGAGACCTGACAGCATCCAGGTGAAGTCCTTTGATGGCAACTTTGCTCAGCTGACTTAAAGACATCTCACCACAGAGCTTTAGGGTGACCATCCCGGATACTCACATCCTAGGCTGATCTGTGGTGTGTGCCCAGGATGAATCCTCTTGCCTCTGACCTTTGGAATACATACAATGCACATAGCCAAAATAAACGCTTATTTTGAAATAATTTTAGATTTACAGAAAGCTGCAGGGCAGCAAAGAGCATCCTCACAGTCCTCCCGCCCAGCTGCTGTGAATTCCTCACAGAACCGTGACATGCTGACTAAAACTGAGAAATTGATACTGGTAGTACACTAGGAGCTCAGGCTTTGTTTGATTTGTCCTGATTTGTCTGCTGATGACCCCTGGGACTCTGTGGACCGCACACTGCACTCACTGCTGCAGGGAATGGCACACAGGGGGTTCCCACAGACTTTTAGGATCCCTGTTTCTAGGGCTTGGATGCTGTCCAGACACATCCCATTAGCTGTCCCATCCTCAGAACTGCAAGGAGGGAGATTCCGCTTAGCACTTGAGGGGGGAGGAAAGTTTTAGAGGTCTCAGACTCCCTGAAATCTACAAGAAGATGTTTTCCCTGGGGAGCATTTTCCCCTGCTTCATCTTTGACACATCTGTTATTTTCCAAAGCAAATAACCTTGAGCCTCCTGTCCCGCTTTCTGGATGGCGAACATGACAGTGGGTCCTTTATAACATATCGGTAAGTGGTAGTTCCCCCACATAAACACAGCCCTCACTCCACAGTGGCCAAATCACACTTTGTCAGAGGAGCATTTAAGTCCTTCTGCAGGGAAGACACCGGGGAGAGTAATAACAGCAGAGCTGACAGCAATATTCCCTGACTTAGTTTAAAGAATAAAAACGAAAATACAGAAAGATATGCATTTTTCTTAAAGAAAATGAATTATTCTTTGAAAGTTAGTCAATCTCTTGGGGGTACAGTGTGGAAAATTGGATTTTAATGGCTTTGAAATTGAGGTTCCATGGGTCAATAGTAGTGGCTACTTGAAGTAAAATGACAAATCTATTAGAAGAAAATCAAACATTTTGTTGCTCATCAGAAAGGCAGTCAGAGGACAGCAAGGATTATATTAAAACTCTTCTTTCAACTAGAAGCCATCAGCAAAGTCCCATTTCTGCCTTGGTGTTTTGAAATCCTTGGGAGAGGGTCACTCTGGGATTTGTTAGATTCTTCTTAGGTCAAGGAAAAGTTCGTGGTCTCTGACCCTCACTGCAAATGTGGTGGAAGGCAGTTGCAGGATAAGCCTTTCCCGTGAATCTAACCCCAAGGCTGCCTGGATGCCCTTTGTTCCCTGTCCCCTGTTTTCTACTTTGGTCTTGGGTGTAAGGTGGGGATCCTTGAGGGGATCTCACCTGGAGGCATAGCAAGAGGGATGGGTGCAGACACCAATGCCCACAGGGCCCGTCTGGAGCCAGATGGGATGCAGGGTGCACACAGAGAGCCATGCGTGGTAGGAGCATCAGATCAGCAGGCCATGCCAGGGCCAGAGGAAGTACTTCCAGACACCAGTGCTGAAAAGGCATCCAGACACTGTCACCTTGCCAGGGAAGAACAGCCGGGGACAAAGTAGGCAGCTTCCACCACCCTCTACCTTTTCATGTTCAGAAATGTGTGCAGAGGGAACGTCTTAGTCTGCACCAGTGGGGAAGAAGAGGAGGAGGCCAGTTCCCAGGAACATAAGCAAGGTGGGATGTGCTAAGCAGCTTGAGAGAGGGGCCATCTTTGAAAGACAACCTGGGGTGTGGAGGCAGAGAGCCCAACCCAAGTCCTCTCTGGCTCTGCCTGAGCTCTGGTGTTGGTCAGGTCACGCGCCAACCTGTTGCTGCTGACTTTGAGGATCACGTGTCCCAATGTCAGTGTGCCCAGATGTGCAGAGGGTGAGTGGGTGGCCGCAGTGGTGAAGTCAGGGGCAGAGGACCTCTGTGGTAGACTGCACACCCTGGGAGGAGGAGCCCGGCTGCCCACACCCTGCTGCAGCACCAGTGCCCAAAGGAAAGCCCATGTCTGCTGAATGAACACATGAGTGACTGACTGTGTTCTGGTTGGGATTCATGGGAAATCAGGAAATACTGAACGCCATTAAAATCCTGGCCATGTGCCTGAAGGCTGGCACACGTGGTTATGACATGGAAGCCCAGGCTTGCAGGGACCTGGGACAGAGACCAGAGCCTTCAGATAGAGCCAAAATATTGTGCAACTTTGCCTGCTCAGGGCTGGCACTCCAGGACCTTGGGGTTAGGAGCCTGGACACCAGGGCCATCATTACCAGAGTGACACAGGCAACTCTCCCTCCCGTCCTTGTAAACCCTTCCTGTTTCCTGTCTCTCGTCTTCCCTCCACCACACACACACACACACACACACACACACACACACACACGCATGTCTATGTACACAATACACATGTACACACACAGAGCACATATGTACACACACACACACAGGCATCATAGCATTTCCATACTCTGGGGGCCTGGAAGCAGGGGTGGCTGCTCTGGTGTCTGTCATGGATGGGGGTGCACTGGGGCTTGGTCCCCCTCCCAGTGGCTTGGTGGTGTCACCAGCTTTGTGGCTGAGCTGGTGCTCAGGAGCATTGTGTGCATTCATGTTGGCCTCACGCAGTGGACACTGACCCTGAGGACTCTTTGCAGTGACATTTGGATCCTGCCACTCCTGCATCTCCCTCTGGCCCTTCACAACTCCCTGTCCCAGTGTCCTTGCCAAGACTCTGGCCACACTGTCATCTCCTCTCAGCCCTGGGGGACCAGACTCCCTTTCTGCTGGCCCATCTATTATTTCTGTCTCCTGCATACCTCTACTGACAGCGAGCTGGTGCAGATCTGAAGTCACCCTGATCTTGGGCTCCCTGCTCCCAGAGTATGCATTACACACCCCACTGGGCTTTCCTTCCTGAGCTCAGCCTGGCTGCACCACCTTCCTGCTGGTCATGTGAGGGAGCTGGCAGGCAGAGGGTCCTGCGGAGGAGAGCTGTTTACGCCATGGCAAACAGGAAACAGAAGGATAGGAGGAGCGGGGAAGGGAGAGCAACCTTCTCAAGCCATGTATTCCAGGATCTCGCCTTCCAACCAGAGCCGCTCCTAACAGCCAGTCAGCTGAGTCCTCCAGATCTAATCCCCTTCCAAAAGTCCTACCTATGAGCACATTAGGCTGTGGGGAACATCGAGGTGTTAACCATCACAAACACACTTCCTCATTTCTGCTTTTAAATCCCTGCAACGCCCAGTTCTGGGTCTTCTGATCGCAGGTGGTTTTCCCTACCTGCACTCCTGAAGGCAGCAGCCCCGCTTGCTGTGCTCTGGAACAAACTTTCTGTGGGTATTCGGAGATAATACCCAGCATCCTGCTCCTGACTGCTTGGATTGGGGGTCCCCAGTGGGTGAGGTGGGAACACAGGGTGCCCAGGAGGCTAAGGTGGGGACCCTGGGCTGGCTCTCCATGCAGCCCAAGGCCAGGAGCACGCAGAGCTGGCCTGATCTGTGTGTGGGGAAACAGAAATGAGAAGCAACGTGAATGCCTTGCGCCTGGCGACTCCTGTGTGCAGAGCAGGGAGCAGGGGATCCCTCTACACACAGGTTGCAGGGACAGCGACGGCTCAGGCGGGCTCTCAGATGCTACCGGATGGACAGCAGGGCAGGGTTCATGGTCCCTGTGGTCCTAGCCCTGCCCTGTCATCTGTGCATCATGAGGCCTGGTACCAGCAAGCCAGGGGTAGGGGCTTAGTAAACACGTGATGAACCACATGGCTTAAATTCCCCAGGTGGTGTGGGGTGTGAGACGCACGCCCCCGGTCTCATTTCAGTAATCCCCGTGGAAGCAAGAAGGCTGGAAATGTCCAGGGTTTCCCCACTGCTTTAACCCCCGCTGCCTTTCTGCTACACAGAAACAGGTTGTGACCCTTGACTGATGACATTGAAAGTGAATTTTAAAATGACCCGACAGCTAAGCAACAGAAACATGGAGTTAAATTGCTTGGTTCTGGTGTTCCTGGTATTGGAATCTTTTTGCTGTTTGGAGGCCCCTCACGTGAATTGTCTTTTTAAAGCCACAGGGAGCGTCCCCCAAACACTCCTGCCCTGCAGCAGATCCAACAATGGGCTTCTTCCTCTCTAGGTGCTCCCAGGTCCCCTGCCCTGTGGTCTGCAATCCACAGCTACAGTTAGGGACTCAGACAAGGGGCTGTGGCATTTTTTTTTTTCGGTACTGGGAGTTAAACTCGGGGCCTTTGGACTGAGCTACACACTTAGCCCATTTTATGTTGATACAGAGTCTCACTAAGTTGTATTCATAGTACTTGTGATCCTCCTGCCTCAGCTTCCCAGGAGTGCCAGGATTACAGGCTTGCACTACCATGCCAGCCCATCCCAGTGCTATGGTTTTGATCCCGTCTCCCAGGTTTCACATGTAGGGAAGCAAATCCCCAAAACCCTTATGTCTGGACAGTGTCTGGAGGCAGTGGTTGGGGCAGTGATCCGGTTGTTGGACTCTGCCCCCGCGGGTTTACCCATGAATAGAGTAGCTGTAGGCTGCTGCAGGATGGGTCTGGAATGAAAGGGTCACCCTCAGGCATGCTCTGTCTCTCTGTGTCATGGGGTCCCCCTGCTGACGCCAGAGCCATGCCTTTGGTCTCCCGAGCTGTAGACCTGGGAGCCAAATAAACCTCTGTTTTCTCCACTGCTATGTCTCAGGCATTTTACTATAGCAACAGAACATGGACTAAGATTCCGCGGGTCATTTTGTCCCAAACCTCACCCTGCCTGAGGTGGGTTTGGGTTTGAGCCACTCTGTCCCCTCTTGAGAGCCATGGTCATCACTCTGCACCCTCTGCCTGCCTCTCTGCTTCAGACGCAATCTGCTGAAAACCTTTCCCCAGACTGTGGTCAGTGTTTGCAGCAGAGCCTTGGGGTTCATTTACCTACCAGATGCTTGCTGCTCACCGTGAAGCCGATAGCCTGGGGCCCCGACTCAGATACCAGTGGAGCCGCAGCTGGTGCCTGAACTACCTGAAGGGGCAGCTCTGTGCCTCAGCTGTAAGGTGGGTGCCTACTCAGAGAGGCAAGGTCAGGGTGAGCTGTCCTCCCACCTCCCCCGCCTCATTGTTTTACTAATTTAAACACAGCTAATGTCAATTGAAACCCCAGGGAGAACCACTACTGTTTTCCGTTTACCCAGAGTCCTGGGATAATGCAGAGAAGTGAACCGGAAACCGTGTACTCGCTTGGCAGTTTGCTCACTGGGACCTGACTCTGTGCATCACGAGGCTGTGGTGC